CTACACTCAAATCAAAACCTAACTCATCATCTGTATCCAAAACCAATTTGATCCCCAAACTGTGTCACCTCAGCTGGAATCCTAAATAATACAGAATGATCTGGAGTATGTGGAGTAATCTCCACCCAATGTGAAGTAGCATCATTCTCCACATGCTGTGATACATCTATGATCTGTCCAAAACTCTCCACCTGTTGAGAGTCAATAGGCTCCCTCATCGAAACATCATCCAATATGATATTACCAGACCAAATATCCAATTAAGTTTTACCTCCAATCATAGCAGTTGACAACTCTTTAATAGGATGACCCAAATATGTCGAAGCCTCAGTCCAGAAACTTTTATGCAGACTATTGCTTGACAACAAACACTGATCCTCCTCCAACAATGCACGGTTCTCTAAATTTGCCACCATATCTAGTTGCCCCAATATTTTCTTTCCAACGAAGTGTCTCAAAATGCCGTGAGCTCGGTTCCAATACAGAAATATGTCCATCTTGTACCTCCCATCAAAATCAGAATAAAGTACCTTCACCTTTCTGTCTATCACACACTTCTTCAATCTGTTGGAGACTACTAGGACTTTATTCAAAGGAGATTTGGTTGCAACCCAAACACGTTTAGAATAGCCACCAATAAAGAAAACCAAACATCTATTTCCTCCCAATGATGCCTTCTTGGAAGGCCCCCAAATATCCATGTGAATCCCATCTGAAAGACCCTCCGTGCGGTGAATAGAGGTGCCAAACTTCACCTCGGTCTTCTTGCTCACACCAAAGTGTTCACTGGATTTCAAATTGCAGGTTGTTGCACCAATCTCCAAATCAATACTGGAATGATAAAGCCCTAAATACTGTAGTCTAGTCGAATCAACAGAAGTCGCCAGCTCTCCACCTGTCACTGTATCTCCAAGCAAATAGTACAAGTTATTCCTCTTGACACCCTTCATCACAATCAAAGAGTCTTTCACGATCTCGAGAACCATGTCCTCAACATGAATCTCCAGGATCCTCTCCAACCAAAGCTCTAATTGAGATCAAGTTCTTCCTCAAGGAAGGGACATATCTCACATCATACAATTCTCTAATAGTCCCGTCAAACATCTTGATATGAATTCTTCCTATCCCAAGGATCTAGCATGCACAGTTGTCTCCCATGAACACCACATCACTATCCAGTTTCTCAAACTGGAGAACCATTCTCTTCTAGGACACACATGATAGGTCGTACCACTATCCAGCATCCACTCGGATTCCTCCGAATAGCTACCTGTAGGACTGGTAGAAAGCGAATAAATAGAAGTATCAGAAATATTATCATCTGATATAACGATGTTTGCTTCTGATGATGGTTGTTTCCATTTCCCCTCCTGCTTATTCTTCATCCATTCGTTGAGCTTTAGACAATCTTTCTTTTAATGACTAGTCTCCTTGTACCAAGCATACTGATCTTTTCTAACTATAGGATACCCTATTTTAGACCGTGACTTCTAATTCGGTTTGGATTCTTCACTCTTGTGACCAATGCCTCCGCTACTGGCTCAACTGAAGCCTCCTTATCATCCTTTCGAAGCTGATAGTTCATAAGTGCAGTGGTGACCTCACTATATGAAAGGAACGTCATCCCATTAATTAGAGTAATAACAAAGGTATCGTATTCCTTATCAGGCAAGGAACTCAACAACATCAACGCCTTGTCCTCATCTTCAATCATAACATCCACATTCGCCAAATCCGTAAGAAGCTTCGTGTAGTGATTCATGTGATCACTAATGGAGGTTTCCTTCTTCAATTGGAAGCGATAAAGCCTCCTCTTTAAATACAAGTGATTTTCCACACTCTTGGTCAAATACTTGCTCTCAAGAGTCTCTCAAATCTTCTTTGCAGAAGTCTCATTTATCACATCATATTTCAAATCTTGTGTTAAATAAGACCTAATAACACCACACGCCGTCCGATTCATCTTCTTCCAAATATTTTCTTCAATATCACATGGCTTGCCATCCAACTCTAAAATGTCTTCTAAATTTTGCGTGTTCAGCACATCCAAAACTTCGTATCGCCAAAGTCCAAAGTTGTTTGTGCCATTAAATTTCTCCACATCTATTTTTGTAGAGTGGATATTCAAACTTTGAATGGTCTTCACACCAGAAGCACCACCCTCAACACCTTCTTTCCCGGCCATATTCCCCAACACACCAACAACCAATACAGAACAAACTGAAGAATAGATCCAAACTTGAGAAAGATAGAGCCTTTACCAAATGGATCCCATCTTTAACTCCAATTGAAATCCTAGACGAGCTTCTAAAGCGATTTACTCCTCCAAATTGGCCAAGCGTAGCCCGAGCTCTGATACCACTTGTTGTGCGTAGTGAAAATTTTGGCAGCACCTCTGATGCTCGACAAGAGAGTAGATCTCAACTAAATCCATGTTTCACAAAGGAAATAAGAGCCGAAAGCAAAATATCTCAACAAAATGGGATATCATCTCTTCCTCTCATCAGTTCTAGGACTAACTTGTCGAGGGAACCTAAACTTTCTATTACAAATCACAGCACGAACAATTAATTTTAACGTGGTTCAGCAAATTACCTACGTCCACGGGGCAAGGAGGGGGATATCTACTATTAGAGAGAAAGAGAATACAAAAGGGTTTATAATCACATAAATTAAACCCTCAAACAATATCTTAAATCTCACACAAATATCTCCCTCAAAAGGATGCTCAAACCCTCTCAAAATCAGCACGAAAAAAACTGCATGAAATAAAGTCGGCGGCTCAAAACTCTCTTTGTAATTTTTTCTTTTCTTCCGTCTGCACGCCGCCGCTCCTTGCACACCAATCTAGGTTTGATAACACGCTATATATATAGATTCGGCGCTCAAATCTTTCGTGGGCTCGTGAAAAGATATCCGCTATTTCTTCACGAGGCTTCCTTCTTTTCACGCGGTTTTCGCGCACGTGGTTGGCCCACCACATCCCATTCACAAGTATGACACATGGGCTCAGCCTACCACCAACAGTAATTTTATACCACCAACAGTTATTTTAATGTTAGTACCTTTTGTTATAGCCATGGACTTATCATTTATATATATACGTTCAGCTATTTGAATTTTTTATGATTTTGGGGAATATTGAACCTCTATGTAGATTATTAGTAGTTAGGTATTATCATTAACTAAATATTTTCTTGTTCGTACTAAACTAATTAATTTTTGGTTGTTTGCTTCTCTGGAAAGAGGAAGGTGATAAAAAGGTTCGGAAAAGCTTTAACAAATCATATTTTCAAAATTTTGATTATGCGCATGTCACAGGCAATCAGTTTAATTATAAACGCGTATAAGGAACACTTAAACTCTTAATAGGGATTTATAGTATTGTTATCGTGAACTTCATTCTACTCTATCAAATATTTGAAATGTTGTGGAAAAATCAACATGGAACGTAGACCAACTAGCCTTAATTAAGAGCATGTAGTCGGTAAATCTAAATTTTAGGACAAAGAGTATAAACTTTTGTTTGAAAATTTAACCCAAACGTTCAGATATCATATCAAAAGTCTAGGATTCTAATCATAAAATCCTATTCCTAATTATGTAAGTTCTTAAAATATCAAATTCGCGGAAAATTTTCTAGCACCAAACAATCTCGAATGAAACAACAACCCTTTGCCGTAAGTGTGCTCTTTATAGAGTTTTAGAACGTACTCGTTGAAAGGAGAAATAAGAAGAAAAAAAAAACTTTAATACAAGGTGTCCCTATTTGGTATTTGTAATTAGAAAAATGATTTAAGTACCCAAAATATGAGATTAATGGAGGGGACATGTGATGTGTCCCCTCCATATTGCATAATGAGTTGACTGTGCCAACTCATTATACAATAGGGAGAGATGAGTTAGCTGTGCCAACTCATTATGCAATAGGGAGATGACACCTCACATGTCCCCTCTTTTAGTCTCATATTTTAGGCACCGTAGCAACACTCTTGTAATTAAACAATTGTGTTGTTGGGGGTAACTACGAAAAAGAAGGCAGAGGTTGCCGGCAAGTAGAGATTTGGTGGTTATGTGCACGTACAAAATACCCGAATTTTCAAACGGCATATTTAATCCGAATAGACGCCACGTTGGGATCCCGTTACCGTCATCGTGGGCCCCACCTTGCTTCACTTGTCCACGCAAGCGCCTGTCCACGGCGTTTCCGCGTCTCAAGTTACGAGAATAGAGGGGCCGGTCACCTTCCTGCGGTGACGGGATACATTATTACGTTGGATATTTTTTCCATCTTCACCCTTGGAAAGATATTAAATGCAGAACGTACTTACTTCCATTTTCCAATTTCAAATATTAAGTTCTCTCCGAATTTAGAATGTTTTCTCGAGTTCCTTTTAACTAGCATGAGGATTAAATTATATTTATATATTAGTATATTTAAAAATTAACAAAATCTGATTAAAAATTGTTCAGAATATTTATTTTAATTAAATTCTCTCTATAATGATTGTTTAAGTTTATAAGTTAGATAAAAAGATATTTCTCCTGCTCGGCTATCAACAACAAGAAGTTCCACAAAAATTATTTATACAACCTAAAATAAGTCTAATTATATTTATATATTAATTGAATGAGTAATTCATTTTCTGGAGATAATAAGTTGGAAGGATTTTTAGCGTTTATCGTCTCTTTGAAAATAAAAATAAAAATATCTCAAGATATAAATGCATTGAATTTAAATAAGAAGCTTTCATAGGAATATCCTATAGTTCAATTTAGATTGTTAGGATGCCCAAAAACAAAATTATCCTGTTTAATTATTTCAATTAACAGTTACCAATTACAACTATTCGCTTGAGGATAACGATGGAGTCAATAGACGCCGATTCACTGTAAACAACCTTGAGCAACCTAACTCAAAAGATCAAGATAAATATATTTTTTTTTTACAAATATGGAAATATAGACAATTACTTACAGCCAAACGACCCATTTGGCAGGGACTATTCTGCAAAAAAAAGACCAAGGCGTTCCTGTGCTCCGCGAGGTTTTATCTCCTCCTATAAAAACCGCCCCTTTCCTTCGTCTTCCAAACTCTTGACACCCAAAAATCTCTCGTCCCAAGCAAAACAAAAAAAACCCAAGAAAAAGAAAGAAAAAAAGAAAGAAGAGTTTCATATATTGCCGTCGGATCCGGTCACCGCCCGGTAACGTGAATGGTGACGGCGTCGGAGAGAGGAATGCGATTGGGGAAATACGAGATCGGAAGGACGCTGGGGGAGGGCAATTTCGGAAAGGTCAAATTTGCACGCCACGTGGAATCCGGCCATCCCTACGCCGTCAAAGTCCTCGACCGCAAGCGGATCCTCGACCTCAAGATCGACGATCAGGTATGTCGTGACGCCGTCAGGGGCATTACGGGAAGAAAAATTGGTGGACGCTGGGACAGGGGCAATTCGGGAATGATTCTGATGGGGTTTTCGTTGCTGCAGATAAAGAGGGAGATTGGAACGTTGAAACTGCTCAAGCATCCCAACGTTGTGCGGTTACATGAGGTGAGTCCTGCTTTTGTAATTTATTTATTTATTTATTTGGAGGTGGTTTTGTTTGAATTATGTTCTAATGGAAACTAGTTCTAGAATTGGGTTCTAATTTCCATTTTTTATGTATTTTTTTTTTCAATGTTTGGTTTTTATTATTTTTAATTTTTTTCAAACTCGGATTTCATAAGCACTAGAACATATTGAGAGATGCTAAAGCTGTTAAAAAAAGAGGCATTCTTTCTCGCTTGCCAATCGTGCTTGTTTATTTTTTTTTTCTGAACTTTTTAATTTATTTTGCTCTGTTTGTAATTACATTTTCACTCGATCGCATTTAGTTTATTTTCTATATTCGATTTTATGTTTTTTAGTAGAAAGGACAAGTTTGCTCCATTATTTATTAATTAGCTGATAACAACTACAAAAAACAGGGGATAAATCCTTTTCTTTTTAATCTCTAATTAATAACAGAACACATATATAATACCAAAAAGGGGGGGAAAAAGTTCAGCGTTCTTATAGTGTTTATACCTGCTTTGACTAATGCTATATCTGCAACAAAAGCTAATACAACCCTTTCTTTGATTGCACATGCACACTGCAATATGACGTTTATTAACTTATTACGTCTATAGTTTCATTTTGAATGAATTTTTTTTTTTTTTTTTACTCTTTTCCACCCGGGGGTAATAACATTTTGACGGGCAAAGCGTCAAAAGTTTTTCACTCAGGGTTTGTCTGCCAAAATGAACATGAAACTATTAGGGCAACATAAGTGGACAAGCATCATGTGGCAGGGGGTCTATGTGCTATTAACCCGTAGTAAATAAATGGGTTAATTCTGTGGCTACCATAATTTTTATGGTTATTTTCTAATTTCTTACAAGACTTCATCTGATAAAGTTTCATATTTTGGGAATTTATATATAATAAAAAAAAGTATGATATAATTAAGGAGATTCTATCCTAGTTGTCATTTTATATTCTCTTTTTTTGGTCGATAAGGAAAGAATAAGACAGCACGCCATGATGCTTCGATTTTCCTTAAGAAACTAAATAGTTTTGTTGGGATAATAATCAAACCTGAAGTATAATATAACTTTATAATTTTTATTATTATGCAGGGCTTATATAATATATACAGAAATCTATTTACTTCTATCTTTTGAGTCTACTAGTTTTTATGCACGTGCAATGCAAGTGGTTAAATATTAAAAAAATATTTACAGTTCACAATAAAAAAAAATTCATTATCCATTTGATATTTTTATTTCTTCATACAAAACTGACTTTTCATTTTTTTTTTCTTGCCAAACAAGGAGAGAATAAGATAACACCATCCCTTTCCCATCATAGTTTCCAATCAACCACCTCCTTGTGATCAATTTCCTCATGCAGCTCAATTGGGAACCAAGGCTTTGCTTGTGGGGTTGCATCATGATGCATACATCCCTGCTTTCGCAAAGCTCCAAAATTAACCACCCTCCACCCCCCTTCTCCCCCACACTTACCCTCAGCACATTTATTGTAGAAACCTCCACCAGTAGAAGTTAAAATTCGAACCGGTGCCGACAAATTCCTTAGAGATGATCCGGAGCTTAACATGCCTTAGTCTAAAAATCCAAGGGCGATGCATGCAATAGTAAAGAAATAAAGTTGAATGATTATTAACTAGCATCTTCCAACTCTTGTGCTAGAGATACATGTCAAAATCCTTCTCCTTAGTTGATCCCTTGGGGTCTCAAATGCGTAGGGGCCCTTGTGTTCACTAACCCGAGGAGAAGAACTCCATCCCAGCCCCCGTCTGGTCACAAAAATGATTGAAGGTGCAGGGGCCTACATACTTTACAACTACTACCATCAACTTTTTTTTATTGTTGTTATTTTCTTATTTAGCTCTGTGGCCAATGGATATGAAGTGGGCCCTAGTCATGTGATCCGACCTAGCATTTCCTTCACCTCTGGTCACCACACCTCAACCTATCAGAGATATTGGATGGCCCGACTATCCACCAGCAACTGCACCCCAACATGGTTACTGTGGTTGAAGATAATGATCTGCTCTTCCATTGCTGTGGACAATAAAATAGAAAAGCATAATAATGTATATTAATATATATTAATATATATTATGTGTATATAGAAAAATGAGTATGCTTGCTACCAAGAACAAATCTTGTGCTTGGTAGTGAGGTGTCATATTCCCATCCATTCATTACAATTCCCAATCACTCCCCAACCCATGTGAATGTGGGCTCCGATTTCAATGAGTGAAGGTGAATATGTCACTTCACTACCAAGCACAAAAACTTGTGCTTGGTACCAAGCATACCCATTTTCCCATAGAATCAAAATGAACGGAGTCAATTAAGTGATTGCATATAATGTAATTTTCAAGGTATATTCTTAGATTCAATCTAAGGTGGCTCCTTAGAATTATATTTCCCCTCAAAAAAATTTCCATAGAATATTTTGTAACTTGTGAAGATACCACTGTCAAAATAATTTCCTCTATTTTCCATTTCTTTAGAATCTTTGGTTTCTAGTACTTTATTTTTTCCTTCATAACCTTAAATGGCCGGGCAATCCTATAGCGCTATAAGAGCATCTCCAACCCAAAAACCCAAAATGATGTAGTTTTTACACCAAGTTGGTGTAATTTTTACACCAAATCACTATTTCATCTCCAACCATTACACCAAATTTTACACCAAAAAGAATATTCCTTTTATTTACAAACTATAAAATGGGATATGGTTGGTGGCGTCCAGCTTAGCGCTCGGTTGGAGGGAGCAATCGGCTTCAACTTGAAGTTTTGCATCAATTTGAAGCTACGTTGGAGAAGCTCTAAGGATGGTATTTTCATGTGCTGTGGTGTATATTGTCACCAAGGGCCAACTCTATTGATGTTGATGTTCTTGCTGGTCATTTTCTTCTTCTATGCAAAACAATTTGAATTTTCTCTAATTCCATCTTTCTCAGAAAAAGATTGCACAGAATTTAAGTTAATTAGAATGTGTATATAATTTATAGTCCCTCAGTTTCATCTATATTATCATATGCTAATCTACATTGGTAGACTGATGATTTGTTCTCTCTGGTTTTTTCTGGCAGGTATCAGCAAGCAAAACCAAGATTTATATGGTCCTTGAATATGTAAAAGGGGGTGAATTGTTTGACAAAATTGTAAGTATTCTCCCGTTTTGCTGATTATTAATTAAAACTAATAAGAATTGTATTAACCTTCACAATTTGTGGAAGCATAGTACAAGCAACAGTAGAGTAAATTTTCTCTCTTAAATGTTGGTCAGGCATCAAAGGGAAGACTTTCAGAACGTGAAGGCCGGAGACTTTTTCAACAACTAATTGATGCTATTAGTTATTGCCACAGCAGAGGGGTTTATCACAGGGACTTGAAGGTAGTTCACAAGCCTAACAAGCAAAAAATAATTCAGAAGGCTTAATATAGTTAGTTAATTTTCAATTCTCGGTAATTAAGTTGCGATAAGGATATTGTTAAGGATATTTTCTCTTCATCATGGCTCACAGTTTCCTTATTTCATTGCAGCCAGAAAATGTTCTTGTTGATGCACACGGAAACATTAAGATATCAGATTTCGGTCTGAGCGCTTTACCGCAACATCTTGGGGTATATTACTTCAAGATAATCTAGTAATTACTTATAATCATGCTCCAGTTGCTCTTAATAGCATCTTACTGAGGCCTTGTTATATTTCAGAATGATGGATTATTGCATACAACCTGCGGGAGTCCTAATTACATTGCCCCTGAGGTGAGAACTTGTATATAATCAGGTTTTGTGTCATTAGACATTAGAATATTTTGGTTCATTTATTAATTTGATATTAGCTGCTCAATTCTTGTCTCCATTTATTTTTAGGTCCTTTTAAACAGAGGATATGATGGTGCAATGTCAGATATTTGGTCTTGTGGTGTGATCCTCTATGTCGTTCTTACTGGATCTCTTCCATTCGATGATAGAAACATGGCTGTTCTTTATCAGAAGGTAAATGCATCTTTGAATACCTTAACCTTTTATAAAAATCTTCCCTTTCTAATTGTTTCCCCTCGATACATAAAAATGAATGGATTTCCTCACATTATTGTTATTTTCAATTGGTTACAGATATTCAAGGGCGACTTCCACACTCCCAAATGGCTCCCCACCGGAGCTGCTAACTTGATTCACAGGATTCTTGACCCAAACCCTAAGACTCGGATCAATGTTGATGGAATCATAGCAGATGATTGGTTTAAAAACGATTACACGCCTGTAATTCCGTATGATGATGACGAAGATGATACAAGATTTGATGACGTCGCTGTTGAGGACAGAGAGGTATTGTTTTTTTAAGGTCTTGCTCTTCTTTAACTTGGATAACTATAAAATGTGTGTTTATAATTGAAGATTGCATCTATTGTGTTTCAAACTGACAATGCCATTTTGTTCATTGATGGCAGATTGATGGGGCAGATGATAATGGAAAAAAAATCCCCACCCACATCAATGCTTTTCAACTAATTGGAATGTCCTCATACCTTGACCTTTCGGGCTTCTTTGAGAAAGAGGTGAGCTTCAACTATTTACTGAACTTGTAGAAAGTTGATACTACTTTTCCTGTATAAACGTACTAACACAGCTGCATGCTTTCCAGTAGACTACTATCTACATGCGTTATTATTGCGATTCAAAAGAAACTTGTCGACTACCAAAGCAATTTAATTAACTATTTTATGACCTTAACTGCAGGATGTTTCTGAAAGGAAGATTAGATTCACCTCAAATTATTCACCAAATGATTTATTTAAAAAGATAGAGGACATTGTGACAGAAATGGGATTCCAAGTTCAGAGGTGTCATCGCAAGGTTGGTATATAGTCTATATCACTTAAAGCATCTTAAAAGTCTATATGCTTGAATGTGATAAATGTGGATGCATGTGGATGTTTCAGAAGTTTTCAATTTAACTTCTTTCTATTTGCAGTTGAAAGTTATGCAACAACAAAGGGGTTCATCAAGCCCAAAAACCCCAGGGTCCCTTTCAGTTGCTGCAGAGGTAAATATTTGTTGTATATATACAAGTTGTTTGTACAAAGCTCATCTATTATGTATATAATATATATATTCTCTCAATCAGGTGTTCGAGCTTGGTCCATCTCTGTATGTCGTAGAATTAAGGAAGTCGCAAGGAGATTCCTCATTGTATAGACAGGTAACACCCTATTCCTCTGCACTCGTCAACAATGTAGGTTTCAGCCTCAAAACCGAGAATAATTGTTTGTTTTGGCAATTGCAGTTATGCTCAAAACTATCGGGAGATTTGGGTGCCTGTGGAAGTCATCATCTAATGAAACCGCAGGCTTTAATGCCAGAGCTTAACGGGTTTGAAGGGGAAATGCCTGTTGCTGCTTTGTAATAGTGTATATGTAGTCTTATTCATTTAAGAAGTACAAGCAAAAGCCTGAGCTTCCTTATCTTTAGAAAGTATAAAAGTGTAGAGTCCGAGTACAAGGAGAGAGTAGAACAAACAAATGTAGACGTTTTTTCATTTTCTGGATATAACGGACTTGCTTTGGAATTCTGCACTGGACTGCCAACTGGTTGTGTTACTTTGAGATTTTGAGCTGTGATATCAAAATGTAAAAGCCTTTTCATATATAAATCTATTATATGGTACCCGGGACTTTTTTTCCCAAATTTAACAAAACTGTGCATTATACTACTTATGCTGCAAATGGGGAAGTGAGGAAACAAATACCGTATACAGACGGTCTTGAAGCCAAATCTCTAGCTGGCTGTAAATCTTATTCAAATCTTTTGTGGACCTGTCTGTACATTGAGTCGTTGAGATATGAAATCAGCCTACAGATAAAAGTGTAGCCTGAGTAAAATAATCTCCGGAAGTTCACTCAAGATAATAAACTCATAAGATCCATTCATACCCCCATCTTCAGCATTTTCTGTGTTTCCAATTGTATTTCAAATCGCTTTAGTCCAGTTGGAAATCCTCCCTCAATTCACCAGTAATCCCCACAGGAGCACTTCCCATCAGCAAAATGGTGAAATCTGTTCCGATCCCTAACAATCAACTTCCTCTCATATACCAAAGATATGAGCTTAATGGCAGCGTGACAATCTTCACAAACTCGAAGATTTTTCACAATACGAATTGTGGACTTGGGAACAGAAATCAGAAGCCCGAATGCAATAGCCAATTTTTCACTGTGTTGAATTAGTGCAGACTCTTTGGTTTGTTCATCAACATCTTGCAAAACCAATGAAGTCACTGGTTCGTATCCAGCCCATTTCAAACGATCAATCATTTCTGCCAGCATTTTGTAGATCTCATCACTTCTTGGGTGTGAGTTATCACCAGCAACAAACTCATGAACAATGTTTCCAATTTCAATGGAACTGCTCCCAGGAATCCTTTGAATGTTCGCTCCTCTCATCAGCTTCCTCACTTCTGCAACGTCAGCCCATCTATTGGCTTGTGCATAAATGTTAGAAAGAAGCACATAATGCCCATCAACATATGGCTCTAGATTTATGAGGTTATTGATGGCTTCTTCGGCTATCTCTATATTTTTGTATGTTCGACATGAACCTAGAAGTGCTCTCCAAACAACTGCGTCTGGCTCAAATGGCATATCTTCAATTAGTTGTCTCGCCTGTTTGATATGCCCAGCTCTGCCTAATAAATCAACCATGCATCCATAGTGCTCAACCTTTGGAGAAATTTTATATACATTGTTCATCGAGTTGAAATGAGCCCTTCCCTCATCAACAAGACCGTTATGATTACAAGCACTTAAAACCCCGACAAAAGTTATGTCATTGGGCTTGATACCCTCTTGAATCATCTTGGAGAAGAACCGAAGGGCATCATTACCGAGTCCATGACTCGCAAGACCTATGATCATTGAGCTCCAAGTTAGAACATCCCTCTCATCCATGCCATGGAAAACTTGGAGGGAGTTTTCAATATCCCCACATTTGGCATACATGTCAACAAGAGAAGTTCCAAGCTTTACATCAATCTCTATCTTGTTCTTCTCGATAAATTTGTGAATTGTCTTGCCCATCCCCAAGGCTCCAATGTCTGCACAAGCTGATAGAACGCTCACCATAGTCACCTTATCTGGCACAATACCACCCAATTGCATACCCTTAAACAATCTCAATGCTTCATTACATTGTTTATTTTGTGCATACGCTGAAATTATAGAGCTCCAAGAAACCAAATCTTTTTCTCGACTCCTATCAAATATCTCCCTAGCAGAATTAACTTCGCCACTCTTCGCATAACCATGGATCATCGTATTCCAAGAAACCAAATCCTTTATCGGCATCTCGTCAAACAAAATACGAGCCTGGCCAATCTCCCCACATCCAACATACTCTGCCAGCATCACATTATATGCTACCAAGTCTCTCTCAGGCATTAAACCGAACACCTTTCTTGCAAGCACGATATCCCCAATCTTAGCATACATCTCAATAAGTGCTGTTTCAATAAACAAATCGGATACAAATCCAAGTTTCACAACATGGGCATGGATAACTTCTCCCATTCCCTTCTCAGACGATCTGGCACAAGCCTGGATCCCCAAAGAGAGGCTGAAACTATCAGGTGAAGCTCCATCAACAAGCCTCATTCGACGAAAGAGGTGAAGAGACTCAATTGGGTTTTGAGATTGGAGGTAAGCGCGGATGAGAGTGTTGTAAAGAAATGTGTCGGGGGCGTGGACATGGTCGAAGAGGGCTCGGGCATATGGAAGGGATTTTGGTGGTGAGAAGGCGAGGCATTTTCGGAGGAATTTGGCAGTGACGAAGTTGTTGAGGTTGAGGGAAGTTTTGAGGAGAAGGGATTGGAGTTGAAAGAGTTGGAGGAGAGAGGTAGATTGTTGGATCAAGGACATGGCGAATTTGAGCTCTAGCGTTTTGGCGGGAACAAGCATTTGTCTCTTCCTCTGAATTAAAAAAAAAATGTAGTTCTGGGAGAGAGTTATACAACTTAGATATAGGTATTTACAAGTCGGGTTTTTTTCCAATAAAAAACATGAGTTTGTTTCCACCGGAATTCTCAAGATTACATTGAGAACGCAGACTGGCTTTAAGAATTTTTGAGATTTAAACTGACGTGAATAGTTAAGTCTTTGCGGTCAGCGTTAGTGAGAGAGGTGACATCTGCAGGCACAGAATTTTTGAAGACGAAGGTGACCTGAAATATGCCAAGGATCATGGAAGATGAAGTAGCAGCGTGTAGTTACTGGGAAAATGAGATTCCGTAAAATTACACCAGCTACTTTTGTGCTCTCTTTCGAAATCTTCAAACATCAAAAACCATGCACGCAACGGTCAGCTTGTAAGTTATCAAATGTATTTTGTGTTACACATAACACAAGATATGTATAAGGTATGGTGAAAAAAATCATATACCGAAAAGGAAAATCACCTTAGTACTAAAAAAAAGAGGACCTTTCATTTCTGTATTTGAGTAGGACCACAACAGAGATAACTCAGAGCAAAGAGATCTGTCATTTATGTATCTTGAGTTCAAAATACAGGCAAAGATGAAGAGTGGAGAAAAGTGATCCACAGTATTAGTATCTTTCGATTCCGTAGTCAAGTAACTTAACTGAACTTATATTAATGTTCCACCCCCATGCAACAAATTTATTGTGAAATACTTCTTCAGATACATAAAAAATAAATAAAATTTCTAGCTCAGCTTCGTCAGTTCAAGTATAACTTCTGCTAGAAAAGCAGCGCGGGCTGATTCCTCCAAGAAATTTTACTTAGGAAAACAATGCTACCCTGTTAACCAAAATCACATCACCACTCTTACAACACCTATGAAGAAACACGGAAAATGTGGTCTCTTGTTATTTCTTCCGGTAGTTGGCTAATCTGCAACCATGAAGGGATCCACATCTCCCATATCAGCAGCCAGAGGTTCCAGCTGATCTGTTTCCTCGCCCTCTGGAACAAAATAGGTAGGGAATGGCAGTAGCAAAGATTTATCTTTCTTAGGATCTTTGTATACGGCATCCTTGATAAAAACAAAGTTGCCCTCAGCACCAGGAACCTGCAAACATAGCAAATAAAGCGCCTTTATTAGCATTTTCCTTTATGCAATACATAACCAGAAGCATGCACGCCAAAAGGTTGATGAACCAAAATACAGACATGCACACCTGCCCTTTCACCCACATCAAATTTCTTGTGGGTTCTATTTTGTAGACCCACACGTTCTTCACTGTCCTTTGTGCAGCCCCCATGTGCCCAGGCATTTTCTTCCCTTTAAAAACCTAATTCAAGACCATGATGCGTTTTTACAACTTAAATAAGAACAAAGGTGACATATGTGCAAATACCAAACATATGCACCTGAGTCATAATCACTAAAGATCAATACAGATCACTTACTATGAAACAAATTATCAGAAGTCTCTATTGACACAATGCTAGTTTTTGAAACAAAATTAGTAAAAGGAAAGAGATGATAATCACTTCGAATATACAAAGAGGCATGGCTATGAGGAATAAAACCTCCAACTCCTACCAATCAAAACTTAGTAGAACACTAACATTCTCAGTAAGACCAAAATGGCCCTAAGGCCTCTTAACCATTTCTTATTAAAATTCACAATGGAAGTTTTAGAAGCATGACTATGAAGAGCAGAACTACATGGATAACAGCAGTTACAGCACCTCATATTAGTAAACGACATATATATTCTTAGAAAGACAGTCTCAACAATTGTTCAAACTCACATTTTTCACTACACTAATAAAACAAATGCATAATATCGATAAATTTTTTTTTTTTGAACCTGAGAAACAGGGTAGGATGCCCTGTTCATTTAAATATATTGAAAAAAGTTCAGAAGAGGAGAATACATAGCTCTAGGTGGAGAGAACACAGTAGGAGAAGTGAGTAGGGAGCGGACCATTGTCGTCACCTACCACACTTGACCTACTGTTTCCTACAACTAGAGAAAAAAAACACTTTAGAAAGTAAAACAAGAGGGGATTAAAACAGCTACAATATTGTGCATAAAGACTGGAATATGCTAGACACAGCTAGCAGCTAACCAAAAGGGGGCATCTTCACAAAAAGGTTCTACTTCCTGCTGGGACAAGAGACACGGGAGCTTAGTTGCTGGAAAAATTGTCCCCAGCATCAGTAGGGGTGTTCTTCTTAGCTAGCTCCTGGAAGCCGAGATTGAGGGATGCCCTTCGAAGCCTCCTAGCCATCCTATCATCTTCTGTACCTGACCAGAAAATGGAAAATCTCGCTATATTAGAAGCAGTTGGAAGTGAGATGGGCTGAATATCCTTGAAAATTAGTGAATTTCTACAGAACCAGATCCACCAACAAAAACATGGCAGAGATGGGCTGAATATCCTTGAAAATTAGTGAATTTCTACAGAACCAGATCCACCAACAAAAACATGGCAACAGAATCTTCCATATGAACAGAACCAGATCCACCAACAAAAACATGGCAACAGAATCTTCCATATGACTTTAATATCTGAGCAAATATTGGGAACTTTGTGAAGCAGCAGCAAATCTTCCATGTTTGTAGGCCAGCTGTTAGCTGGAAAGAGGGGGAGAAGGGAGTTCCAAACATCACGAGCAAATGGACAGTGAATAAATAAATGATCGTGAGTTTCTGTTTCCCGATGACAGAAAGGACAAATTGGGTCGCCGTTCCATCCTTTTTTGATCAAATTATCTCTTGTATTTAGCTTCCTTTTAGAAATAATCCAGAGATGGACTTTTACCTTTAAGGGAATGTTGGATTTCCAAATCATGTTGAAGAACTGGGATTTTTGAGCCCCTGAAGTAACAAATGAGTAAAAGGATTTTACAGTGAAAATACCCGAAGAATGAAGAGGCCATCGTAAAACATCCTGCTCCGAAGGACCACCTGGATTAATATGCTCTAAGAGAGAGTGAAGATGGAGAATGTCTGCCCTTTCATTAGGGGAAATACCCCTTCTAATTAGCGGATGCCAATTCCATGAATTATTTAGCCATCTGCCTTGTGAACCAATGCTGCAGTTTTTAGAGAGGGCTAGCTTATATGCATGTGGGAAGAGGCTGCTAAGAGAATTTGCTGAAGACCATTTATCATGCTAAAAACTGCCCGTGTTACCATCCCCAACATTCCATCTGACAATTTTAAAAAAGGTGGATTGAATGGAGAAAAGGTCTTGAATAAATCTTGAAGATGACATCTTTGGTTGATGAGCAAGAGGATTTGCTCCATTTTTTGAATAAATGGAGAAAAACACTTTGCTGAGAAAAGAGGTTCTGTCGAGAATTTTCCAAATCCATTTAGAGAGGAGGGCTGAGTTAAAAGAGGGGATATCAATCACCCCAAGCCCTCCTTCTTCCTTAGATTTGCAAACTGTTCCCCAGTTGATAAGGCATTTAGTTCTTGAGAAACTGAGGCTGCCATTCCAGAGGAAATTTCTTCTGATTTTATCTATGGTCTTAATGACCCATTTTGGCAGCTTAAAAAAAGACATATAGTAGAGAGGGATGGAGGAGAGGACAGAGTTCAGAAGAGTTAGCCTACCTCCAATGGAGAGAGTTTTGTTTTTCTATAAAGATAGCTTCTTTTTGAATGATTCTAGGAGAGGTTGCCACTCTCTTTTAGATAGAGAACCTCTTTTTAGGGTAAGTCCCAGGTAAGAAAAAGGGAGGGAACCGACAGAGCATCCGAGTATCTCAGCCAACAAATTGCCTTTATGGGGGATTTTGCCAAGATAGAAGAGGTTAGTTTTCTGAGGATTTGCACAAAGCCCTGAAATGCTAGCAAAGATGGAGAGGATGGTCTTAAGGGTAACCATATCAGAGGAGTTAGCCCTAGAGAAGATGATTGTGTCATCCGCAAATTGAATGGTTCTAATGGAATTGAGATTACCTCTCAAATTGAGGTTAGAAAGGTCTCCTGAGGCTGCGCTGCATTTGAACATCTGACTAAGGACATCCGTCACTAGCAGAAAAAGAAGGGGGGAGAGAGGATCGCCTTGTTTAAGACCCCTGAAATATTTGAAATAGGAGGTTGGTGAACCGTTAACCAAGACAGCTGATTTGGATGAAGAGATGATATGATGGATCCAGGAACACCACTTGGGGCCTAAACCTCTAGCTTCAAGAAGAGATAGAAGAAAAGACCAGTTAACACAATCAAAAGCCTTATAAAAATCAACTTTAATGGCACAAACATCTTTTTTTCCCAGAAGAACCGTAGTTAATCATTTCGTGGCCTAAAAGAAAGGAGTCCAGAGAATATTTGCCTGATTGGAAAGCCGATTGAGAGTTGTCGATGAGAAGGTGGAGGACTTTTCTGAGCCTGTTTGCCAAGATTTTGGAAAAAATCTTGCAAGAACTGTTAATCAGGCTTATAGGCCGAAAATCTTTAGGGGAGTTAGCATCATCCTTTTTGGGAATAAGACAAAAGTGAGAATAATTAATATTATGGAGAGATTGAGGATGGGAATATAAGCCTTGAATGAAATCAATGACATCAGATTTAATAACAGTCCAGAACTTTTGATAAAACAGAATGGGAAGACCGTCAGGTCCTGGAGATTTATCTAGGTGAAGCCCAAAAACAGCCTCAGTGATTTCCTGCGGAGAGAAAGGAAGATCAAGGAAAGATCTATGTGCTCTTGAGGGTATAAAAGGTTCCAGTTGGGTCTCAGAATGGAGACTGGGGGATTGCTGAAGAGGTTCGAGAAGAAAGTAAGAAAAGATTATTTGATATCACTATCTGAGGAGATGAAAGAGTCATTGATAAGGAGGTGGGGAATAAAAATTTTTCTGCGGTGGTAGGATGCAACTTTATGGAAGAATGCTGAATTATTGTCTCCTTCTTTCAGCCACTGAATACGGGATCTTTGCTTCCATTTGATCTCTTCAGCATTTGCAAGAGAAAGAACCTGATCCTTTAAATCAGATCTAAGTTGTGATTCAAAGGAGGATAGATTTCTGGACTCTTCACTGATATTTAGGGAATGGATTTGAGCCATAAGATATGAAAGAAGCTGGGGAATGGATCCAAAACAGTACCTTTTCCACCATTTGATTCTCTTTTTTATGAGTTTTAGCTTGAAAGGTAGGGACATATGGTGCTCTCCCCTCGAAGAGAAGGAAGATCAGCTTGATTCTATGAAGGATCGAAAGGAGGGGATAGATAACCATATCTTTCCAAATCTGAAGGGAGGGGGGAGGAAAGGGGAGTTGGTATCCAGCATAATTGGATAATGATCTGAACATTGAGCTGGATAAGCATACTGAACCATGAGAGGAAAGTTAGCTTCAAAATCCAACGAAACCAAAAATCTGTCCAATCTAGCTAAAGATGGAGGGGATCTATGGTTGGACCAGGTGAATTTTCTTCCACTAAGGGGGAGGTCGATAAGATGGACAGAGTCGATGAGACACTGGAAAGATTTAATATCTCTAATGGAGCTAGAGCGACCACTTCTTTCTTCTGAGCTTAATGTCATATTGAAATCTCCAAAAACTACCCACGGCAAAGCATGGGAGCCTCTAATCCTTTCAATTTCCCACCAGCATACCTCCCTCTCAGAAGGATCACAAGGAGCATATATGGAAGTTACAACAAAGCTCCAATTGGATGGTTTATGAGTAAGGGTGGCCGAAACAGAGAAAAGGTCAGAAGACGAGGAAGAGCAGGAGAAAATATCCTCGTTTCATCCCAGAAGGACTCCCCCCCTCGAATCTATAGCATCAAGAGATAACCATGATGTGATGAAATTACCCCCCAAAGATTTAAGAACAGAAGGGCTAGGGGCTGAAATTTTAGATTCCTGCAGACCTACCAGATTGACTTTAGCAAGAGAAAGGCACTCCCTAACCAACCTACGCTTAGCTGGATTATTTAACCCACGAACATTCCAAGATCCAATACGCATGGATACCGATGAAAGGCAACTTAGAGTGAAGAAGGGGGCTCAAAGAGGAAGGGCCCCTAGAGACAACCTATTTTGGATCTCTATTAAACCTGATGGATCCACCGGTTCGAGGATACCACAGTTCACAGAGATCTCCTCCAATAACTCCAGATCAGATGAAGGGATAGGAGGAGTGGATACAGAGGAAGAGGATTTCGGTTTAGAAGTACCTGAATACTTACCCTTCTTTAGCATGGCGAGATGTTTCTTGAAAGGCAGGGGCAAAGGGTGATTGCTTGCAACTTTCTTCTTGGCCGGCTTGGGCTTTCTTTTTGCAGTTTCGAATCCTGGGAGAATATCGGAGGAAGAAGCAATATCCATGGAGTCTGAAGAGCTGATCTGGATGGCTATATCATCTTTAGGAGATAGAGATGGAGCGTCTACCAGGTGGGGAAAGGCTGCTTTGAGAGTGGACCAGGAGTCTTTAGAGATGTCGATCGTGATGCCTTTGAAGGAGACGGCCATAAGTTCTGACGGTGCTGCTGGATCTGCCGCTTGGTGAGAAGGAAGGTTTGAGCCTCCGGCCTCCACCATAGGGCTTTTACCTTTTAGGTCAGGCTGGATGGGCTTCGAAGTAGGGGACAAATTACTCTGGATGGGCCCTTGAGGAGATAGGACCTTAGGGGAAGGGGGTGGGGCTTCTTCTTTACGGACAAAGGCTTCGAAAAGATCACGATCTCTGCCTTTATCCGCTGGCAAAGGGTCACCAACCACTCTCAGTTTGACCGAACCTTCCAAGATGTGGACTCCATTATCTGATTCATACCTAAAGATAACTTCTTGGGGGATTTCGGAGGGATCCCTAACATGCAGCATCGCTTTACATGCTAGGGCTTTTTTTTTTTAGCATAACATCATCGGAGAAGGCAATAACATCTCCTATGTCCACAAGGATGTTTGAAATGAACTCCGAGTCCCAAAAGGTGAATTGGGAGGCCAAGAACTTCCACCCAAACATAAAAAAACTTTGGTAAAACTTTGAGGCCAACTGACTCTGACCAAGGAGAGAAAAAACCACCAAAATTTCCCATACTGAAGAAAGGTTTGGAGCAGGCATAGTCCAGTGTCTCCGCATCAGGGAACTGGATAAAAAAGAAATTATCCGAAGTTTGCCTGATCACATAGACCCAGTTCTCTACCTTGAGATGGAACTCCAAGTTCTCTACCAGCTCCGCAAAAGAGGGTTTTCCAACTTGGATCTGGAAATGGGCATATCTCGAGAACTCAACCAAACTCGAGCTGACAGATGGGGGGAGAGAAACCTTTGGTAGAAAAAGGGGAGGGGGAGAGGGTAGAGGTTGTTGAGGAGGAATGCTGAGCAAAGGAGGTTGCTTTTTGTTAGGGCAACTAACAGAAGTGTGACCAACATGATTGCAGGCAAAGCATTTGAACGCTCCAAGAGAGCACTTTTTTGCCATGTGATCTGATTTTCCACAAAGAAAGCACCTAGGAATCTTTTGGGGGTGGAAAGGCTTCGGGAAGGAGGTAGGAGATCTCGGTCTTTTTGGCCTTCTTTTGTATGACACTGTGGTCCAGCCCGAGTCTGGTGTGGGAAGGAGACCTTTAGGAGGGGGAGGGGGAGGGGGGGTAGGGAACCCTTCAGAATCTCAGCGAAAGATGGTTTAAGAGTGGGATCTTTGATTTGGGGGTGACGGAGAGGAAGAGAACAGGATGGAAGAGAAGGCTTTGGATGTTGAGATGTGGATGGAGGATGGGCGAGGGTTGGAGCTAGAGACGAAGTGGTAGAGAAATGTGGAGAGATGGTGATCTTACCGCCGCTGATGGAAACCAGTCGCCTTCTTGGAACACGAACCGCCGCCTGCGCTAATCTCCTATCGCCTCTCCTGTTCACCTGCTCCATCCCGAGATATATCGATAAAATTTTGTAGACTTATTACTTTGGAAAACTTATATAACATCAAGTGGGAAACCAAGATTCATCTTGCATACCAAAAAGAAAGTAGGGAAACCTCAGGTGAACATCTTGATTTACTGTGTAACTCAGATGCTATGAATCAAAATTTTATATGCAAAGGAAACTAAAATACAATTCCAACTATATGGTCGCATAATGGTTTGAAAAAACACTAGACATCTACAATTCTTCAAGAACTACTATGAGAGTACTATATAATACTTTTGTTTTCATTTAGGCGCATACCTTTCCAGGAGCATCCCTTTGTCCAGTAGAACCAATATTTCGATGCGTCAACGAGGTACCGTGACTTGCAGGCATTCCTTTAAAGCCCCACCTCTTCATTCCTCCCTATTGATAATAAAAGAAGAAAAATAATAATAAATAAACACTTAAGGCATCATAACAACATAAGCAGCAAGGTTCAGTTATTGGCAATATCCATTCAAACATAACATATCTTACAGAACATCTTACTTACGCAACACAATACACATGAAGGTGAGGAAAATGCGTGAATCCTATTTTTATTTACTCTGCATGTATGCGAAAAATAAGAAATTTAAATAGGATAGAAAATAAGTAGGCAACATGATAGGTGTCTTGCATAGCATTTATATTCCACTCGACACACGTGAAATCCTATTTTTATTTACTCTGTATGTATGCGAAAAATAAGAAATTTAAATAGGATAGAAAATAAGTAGGCAACGTGATAGGTGTCTTGCATAGCATTTATATTCCACTCGACACAATGTTTTCAGCTTCTAAAAAATCCAACACATATGAAGGATGTTTATTATAAGTAAAATCTGTAAACTGCCTATCTTTGACTACCTAAGGAGCTCAAGTCATATGTCATTTCCAAATGTATTTTTAAACAGGGACAAGGTTGAACTATGTACTGAACTGGTTAACTTTTAGATTCTAAATGAATTGATAACAGTAAGTATGACGATCTAAGTTATCCCGGTACGTCGTCCGGGCTCTCGTACCCAGGTCTGACACCCATCTGACTCTGACACTCCTTTGACACTCTATGCATACATATATTCAGATGCATAATTATGTAATGTTTTAGTTTAAAACAGACATCTTGGATGTATATCTCACACTTCACTTCCACTTCCTTTATAACTTGCTGGACAAGGGTCGATCTCATTTCAACCGATAACCAGTCCAGAAGTATGATTTTAAAGGGTCTTTTTGGTATTAGTTCAAAACCGAGCAATTTTTTCAATTTATAATCTATTTAATAAATGAAATATAAAAATGTTATAGGAACTTTAGTTTTCATAATATATGAATGAAAAAAAACATCAACCTCATGCAAATTATTAACTTCAATATGTATACTCAGATAGTTGTGTCCTTGTATCCTACCTTTTACAAAGTTGTCATGTTCCATACCCGAACCCGTACCTGTGTAACATAGATCAAGTCTTTGGCATTTGGTTTATAATGTTAATGAACTAAATTTACTTGTTCAATTCAATCCGTGTATTAATTAGAAATACTCGATACAGCTGCTACCAAGTCTTTTAAATTTGAGCCTATTAGTTCAGTTCTAATTAAGTTCAACTTTTTGTTAATTTTCTTTCTCAAATCTCATTTTCTCAATTTATCGATCAAGTTAGGGTGGCTTATTTGTCAGCTCGATTATGTGAGTTTATATTTAGAAATGGCTTTGTTGATTTGACTTTGTTAATTAGACCCTTTTTTTCAAATTTAATTAATATCCTTCTGAGCTCAGTTATGCGTGTTCTTTGATAGGATTTGTCTTCTATCTCTAGTTAGTAATGTGAGTGTCCAAGCAATGTTTTGACAGAGTAAAAATATAGAAACAATATAACTTTCCATTTTGCATTGCTAATTTCTTAAGCGTTATTATGGTTCATAGGGAATAAATAATATTTAGGCATAAATGCAATTTGCACAAGGTAGTCTTACAAACAGTGAACGGTGCTTTTTACTTGCGTTTTCTAGATTTTTTATTGAGACATGGTTACCAGAGGTTTCCGCACTATTTTATTTTCTAACGCTTCATGTTATTTTTAAATAAATTTACATCTGGATGATTGTTTCTTAACTTTGTTTCCTTTATTGCAATTTACTTTATTGCAAACTCTGTACTAATTGAAATGATTGTATCTTAGCTTTTTCTGTTGAGCTCCACAAGTGTCATATGGTTTTATTCAATTAGAATATGTTCATGCAAGAACTCATCGAGATAAAATGAAAATTTCGCTGGCTCTACATGTGTCTTATTAAATAGGATGGAGTTACTCCTTTCAACAGCTACTGTTGCAGTAAATTCTACATGTTTTATAAAGTCTAAAGGTCTTCAGCTGGTTTTACATGATATACCTGATCTGCAGACTAACCATACTTAAACTGGCGATACATACTATGCTTATTTTATCAGATTTTACATCTCTTCAGTCCTAATAGTAGAAACACATGCATGTACACAGTAGTGTTTGGAAAAACTTTTTGAGCTACGATTTGAGGTGCCTTGAGGCATTTTGAAGAGTAATTACCTCAGACATAAACGAAAAGTGATTGTTTTGCAAAGGCATACACCTCATCACTTGAATTATAAAGAAATGTGCGCTTTGCAACCCATGAAACACTTCAAAAAAAGTGCATGCTTCAAGAGTCAAGGCACAGGAAGAAGGTTTAAAAAGCAACTAAGTTAAGTTATTAAATAACACCAGCACTATTGCACGAGCAAATGCATGTGCAACAGATGCGAAAGCTTGATCATCCCAAATTTTATATACAAGGGGCACTTACAAAAAAAGTTTCATCGAGTTTTATAAGATATTTTATGATATTTTTTATTAGAGATGAGTTATTTTATGTTACCTTATATTTCACTTTGATTAGTAATGTGATTTTAATGAAAGAAAATAGGGTACATCGTAATTTGGTGGATTATTTTCAAATATCATCCTAAGAGCACTTTAAATGATGTTAATAAGAAGAGTATGTTTCATATTTTATCATCAAATTCTTATATGTAATTATTTTTAACTCAAGTTTGTAGATGTCTTTCGATAATATTTAGATTAAAACATATGCAAATTCCAATTATTGTATTTATATTCATTCATATCTAATAATTTGTTTTAGAAAAGAACATTATCACTTTATATTTATATCTCTTATAACACATATTGTGACGGATATTTAATTAGTAAGCTCATATTGTATATTCATGACATAGTTTAGAACGTTGCAGAGAAGAAAAGAGAAAAGAAAAGAAAGGGAAAATTCCTTATAATACCCCTCACGTTTCTATTGGAATATAAAATATCCTTCAACCTTTTTTTTAACCCCACTAAGAATATAATACTATACATATAATTTTACATCATGTTGTCTTCACTCTTCAATATTGCTATATGACTATAAGTAAGATAGATGTCATATATATGCATTTTAGTTCATTATAATTCATATTTACAGTTAGCCTATTTCATTCTTAGTTACTCTCCAAGACCTGAATGCATCTATTTTTAAAATTCTTAACACTATATATTATATAGTTATAATGTTAATAAATTTAGAACTAAAATATCCTCATGATCGCGAAGCTTGTCAATTTCCACCATTTGAAACATTAGTGCACACAGAAAGAAAGAGAGCTGAAGTGAAAAACAACTGTTTTTCTGATACATACACATAATGGAGAGAAGGCGAGAGCCTCTACACTAAAGTCTATATACAACAATTGAAAAGCTTGATTTAACTAACTTCCTCTATATTTGCCATCACTACTCCAGCTTTAGACCTATATTTAATCTACGAATACCACCAAAACAAGGTACATATCTACAAGCTACGCATATCCTAATTTTGCCTTTTTACATATTTTCCATCTCATCTTCCCTCCCCTCTCATTGAATTCACCTCCCTTTCAGTAGAAGTTCGAAACCTCTCAGAAAGGGTCATGCAGAGTTTATAAGGACCCCTAATCGATTTTCATGTGCCCACATGCAAAAAATGGAACTCATTCAATTAATTGTTGATTGCAACCCACTCAATAAAGATTTCGCTTGAATATCTAAATCTTCCAACTGAGAGTAGGTGAAACATAGTCCGATTAAAAAACTTAGAATTTATATCTACTACTAAAAAATTCAAGAAATAATTTATTGCTACTAACTATGACTAGTTTCTTATTTTAGCATTCCAATTTTGTCAAGCAACAAGTAGTACATTGCAAATTGGCATTTTATCTTATTTTGTCTATTTTAATTATTAACTCTCATTTTGTGGCCCACTTTTTCATATACTAGTAGGAGTGTATCTTTGTACACATTAAAATAATGCCCCGCTAAAGCTCAATCTTCACAATTAGTTGCTGAAGAGCATATGATCCTTATATATGAAACGGGTATGAAAGAGTAAATATGTGAACCCTATATGAAAGCTAATGTCCTCATCTTATCACAACTTATCATTTAGTATATAATTTCATCTTATGTCCACAAATTAATTCATATAACATTAATTTTTCATTTAAATTCTTTTTAATGGGATTAGATTTTGCCTTCTCTCAGTTGAAAGATTTAGATATTATGTGAAATCTTTAATTGAACAGGTTACAGTTAATAAATAATTATCATTAACATTTAACTAATTACCCATTAAGGGCTGGGGAAATTATTTCTACATTCGCAAGTTGCTTTTTTTTCTTGAGGACATACATCAACCACTTATGGGTCCTGCATAGAAATACACAACCAGTTATGAAAGGATCCGAACTCTTTCACAAATATTGACCTGACGCTATGTTTAAGATTCTTTAACATGTCAAACATTTGAACATGACAGGACGCTTGGACACATATGTCCCATGACTTAGATATCACTCTTTTAAGTAAAGGAAAATAAGCATCATGTTTATGGAAACGATCCAGAATGCAAGGGAAAATAGAAACAAGAAGTATTAACAAGTGCATGATTTTTACCCAATTTTATCCAAACTAGATCTTATTTTTCACTATCCTACCATACATTTTACCAGATAGTGTAAAAGAACTTATTTTATCTCAGATATGAGACCAAAATGTAATAAATATAGCCTCGCTCGTATTTTTAAAATTTTCCATGTTGACTACTTAAAGGTGCTTATCCATGACCCACTGTGTATGTTATGCTCATTGTTTCCCCCACCCAATAGAAGGGGAAAACACCAAAAACCTTAAAAAAAACCCACCCAAATGACATTGACATGATTGTATTCTGTGAGGGACCAAGTGATACTGTGTTTGTCTCACTGTTCAAGGCCAATATAAATTATGATAGATTTGTCTACTATATACTCAGAGGTTATTCCATTTGGTGCCAATAAACTAGCATGCCTTTATGCTTGAAAACAAAGAAAATCGAAAGCCAAGCTATTCCTCCATTTTACATATGAAGGTATCCTTCAGATGTCACCCAGCTTACAATACAAGTAATTTCGTTATCTATTATAAGTAGTATACTAGCACAACCAGTTTCTCCTCATAAAACCCAAATATAGAGATTCGACATGAAATGAAATTAAACTGAAGCAACATAAAAATCTCAACAATGCAGCACCTAAATTTTACCTACCTGAAAACCTTTACCCCGCGTAATGCCAATGACATCAACATGCTGGCCCGGAACAAAATGGCGGACAGTGATCGGAGTACCAACAGGAAGAAGAGCATCTTCTGTCACCGGGAACTCTTTGAGCTTCCTCTTCAGAGGTATTCCTTGAGCTCTGAAATGTCCCACCTCTGGCTTCGTCAGATGTTTCTCCTTCTTTTGCCCTATCCCAATCTAACTGACACCATAACCAAACAATAAGTCAGAATCCTAATAAAACTGCAAACCCCTGAAACCGTTACATTATATTACCAAATGCCTACAGAAAATACAAAATTTCATACTAATACTTAAATTTGATCATAATCCTCAAAATCCCTTAACTAAAACCCACAAAATGAAACCTTTCTCAAACTTTAGGCTTATTTGCACTTTAATATCCCAAAGTTTAAAAAAAAAATTAACTTTGATACCCTGGAGTTCCATTTTGAAAGCTTCATACCCTAAAATTTTCAAATAGACTTTAATTTGACCATTTCACAGACTTTTCCCAAACTCAAAATACTGAAATCTGGTAAGAAAATTTGTTTCTCGTTTAATTTTATATCTGCACTTAAAGATAGGAAATTGTCAAATTAGAACTTCAAGAGTATCAAAACTAAACAAAAAAAAGGGTGAAACTTTAGGGTATCAAATTGCAAATAATGCTTTTCATTTGTTGTACCTTGAGAGGGTGATCCCTTCTTTCCGGGGTCTACAACTTGAGTACATGTTGTCATCAGCAAAGGTGTGGGGATCCTAGCCCCATTTGTCCATAAGCCGGTCATCCCGCATTAACGGCGATGCTCCCGTCCGCTCCTCTTGCGAATGCGCAACCGCTATCGGACGAGGCGTCGCCTCGAGTGCCTCGAAGACCTAACGGCGGTTATCGATAGCGGCCGCGCGGCGCTGAACGGTTCTAGAAGGCGGAAGTGAGGGCGGCGCGCGAATTGTCGATGCGAGGCGGAGGCGGAGGCGGAGGACGGGAGCAGTTAGGCTTTCCGATGTGGCGAAACATCATGATGGGCGGTCAGGATTTAGAGGGAGCACATGGCGCTGGATCTGACGGTGGATTCGGAGGTTCAAGGGAGGGGAATAGGGTTTAGTGGGAACCGCTGGCGCAGTGCGAAGCGAAACGAGGCATGATCGTTTTGCTGCAGGCATTACCCCATTCGCGGTTAACTCCCTACATATAATTCACAATTAATTAGAATTTTGTTAACAGAAAAATTCAGAACTTAGAGGAGGAGATGAATTGTCTGGAAGTGACAAATGAATTTCATCTGTCGTTCGCAGGTGACATATATGATTGAATTCAAAGAAGAAGAAAGAACAGATTTTTGAGGGGCTCGGTAATGGGTAGGAGGGTTTTCTTTTGATTTTCCTTGTGTTTTTCTAGAGGAGAATGCTCCTCCTTATATAGGGGCATAACTCATCATCTCTATCCCTCAGATCCGCCTTTATGAGAGATTTTCTCTCAACTACGCATGATTCACGTTCTCCACCATTCTTTTAATAGAGAAACAGTGGTTGATTTGGTCATCAATGACCAAGTCAAGCTAACATCTCCCACTTGACCAAATTAACCAAGTGACATGCCTCCTACTATCCGTGAGATCGGATGTTTCTGCTTACCATTACTTCCACTATCCATAGAGAATAACTCTTATTTCATTATTTATGAAATTTTACTTGGACTTATTTATTCCTAAGTCCCATCAAACTTACATGTTTGATAAAAGATTCCGCTGGTATTCCTTTTATCAAATGATCAGCAATCATATCTGTAGTAGGGATATAAGTCACTTTGACTTCTCCTTTTTCTATAATATCTCGAATATAGTGATACTGGATATCAATATGTTTTCCTTTGGAGCTATTTGCACCACTATTGATTAACTAATTGCTGCTTGATTATCACAATAAATATCAATAGGTCCTTCTAACAAATTAAGATCAAGATCAATAAAAAACCGTCTTATCCAGACAGCATGTGTAGTTGCCATACTGCAAGCTATATATTCAGCTTCTTGCGTATATCTAGCAACACACCCTTATTTCTTGCTAGGAACATCTAATGGCTTTTGCCCCTCTCCAGGGCTTTGCTCTTTACATAATCTCTTTCCCATAACCAACGGAGTTGGTGCCGGATTGGAATTCTCCATTCCAAACCTTTTAAGAACTGATCTTAAATATTTTTCTTGGTTTAAACTTAGCATTCTAGACTTTCTATCTCGAATTATTTGAATTCCAAGAATATATGATGCATCTCCCATGTCTTTCATCTCAAACTTTTCGCTGAGATCTGCCTTGGTTTTATTCAACATTTCTATGTCATTTCCAGCGAGCAATATATCATCCACATATAAGGATAATATAGTAAACTTGCTCCCACTTTTCAAGACATATACACAATTATCTAATTTATTTTGAATAAAACCAAGTTTAGTAACTGCATCATGAAATTTGAGATACCATTGTCTAGAAGACTGTTTTAAACCATATAGAGATTTCATTAATTTGTAAACTTTATGTTCCTATTCTTTCACCTGAAAACCTTCAGGTTGTTGCATATATATTGCTTCCTTCAACTCTCCTTTAAGGAATGTAGTTTTAACATCCATTTGGAATAACTCCAAATCAAGATATGCAACAATAGCCAAAATAATTCTAATGGATGCAAATTTAGCTACAGGAGAATACGTCTCCTAAAAATCTATTCCTGCGTTCTGGTTATAACCCTTGGCAACTAACTGTGCTTTGAATTTATCAATAGATCCATCAACACGATATTTCTTTTTGAGCACCTATTTGCATCCTATGGCTTTTCTATTTTCTGGTAGATCACATAACTCTCATACCTTATTCTTTTCTATGGAATCAAGTTCTTCTCTCATAGATTCTAGCCATGAAGCTGATTCATGCGATTTCATCGCATCAGAAAAAGTTAAGGGATCTTGTTCTTCTATATTTGTATCTACCGAGAAACATGATGACTCGCATGAATACAAATAGTAATCATCCATCCATGAAGGTTGTGTTCTTGGCCTTTTGTTGCCTACAACCGGTTGATTAGGTACATTATTTTTCATAGGTATTTTATCATTTTTAAGGTTAGGTTCATTCACAATATCAGGGTCATTAGTGGGAACAACACTATAATAATCATCATCTTAGAGGTTCTGTTTCCTCTCGAACTTGTTCCTCTTCCTCTAGATTCTCTAGAAATGTAGCATCTTTGCTTTCAATGACTCCTTTTTCTTTATTGTAGAACTTATAATCTTTTGACTTTTCTGAATATCCTATGAATCTACACTTTATTGTTTTAAAATCCAACTTATCTCTAAGTTGACATGGAATGAGAACATGGGCTACAAATCCCCACTTCCTGAGATGACTCAAATTAGGTTTCCTCCCATTCCATAATTCATAAGGTGTAGATACAACTGATTTGGTGGGAATTCTATTTAAAATGTAGTTTGCAGTTAACAATGCTTCTCCCCAAAAGTTTTTAGAGAGACCAGAATGAGACAACATGCATCTAACTATATTAAGTAATGTTCTGTTTTTTCTTTCAGCAACACCATTCTGTTGTGGCATATACAGCATTGTTGTATGCCTTTTAATTCCATGCTGAATACAATAACTCTCAAACTCTTTAGAGTTATATTCCCCACCTCTATCAGTTCTCAAAATTTTGATTTTCAATCCAAGTTGGTTTTCAACTTATGTCTTATATCTCTTAAAGCAGTCAAAGGCTTCTAATTTTCTGGATATAAGATAGACATGTACAAACTTAGAATAATCATTTATAAAAGTAATAAAATATTCTTTATTACTATGAGTTTTGACACTTAGGGGACCACAAATATCCGAGTGTATCAACCCTAAAAGTTCATTGGCTCTCTGTCCGCCAATAAAAGGTTTTCTAGTCATTTTACCAGTTAAACAATGTTCACACGGTGGCAATTGAACATTAGATAGTGCAGGAAGCAAGTTCATTCTGATAATTTTTTTTATTTTTGAAATACTAGCATGTCCTAATCTAGAATGTCATAATTCAGAACCAGAAATATAACAGGACAAGTAGTTCAAATTCGAAATTTCATTATCAGAATTATTACAAACTACTGGAAGAATGCATAATTCATGCTCGGGCACATATTTTTCCATAGTATACACTTTATTATTCTTGCTTATAGAAACCCTGTTATTATAGAACCTAACTTCTAGTCCTTTCTTCATCAAGCTGGAAACAGAGGTCAGATTGCGTCGAATTCCTGGCGCATAGAACACATCTTTGAGGACAGGAATGTTGTCCCTAAGATCCAATCTATATGAACCAATACCTTCTACATCAAGATAGTGTTAGACCCTAGAGGGGGGGGGGGGGGGGGGAGGTGATTAGGGTCTTATGCTAATCTAATCCCGATTAAAGGCAAATTAAAATAATATTGATTAATTTGTTCTTACACGAATGATATAAGATAGATATGAGCAAGAAAGATATGAATAAGCACAAATAAAAATTACGCTAAGCAAAACACAAACAAACGATATGTTTACGAGGTTCGGTTATCACGACCTACGTCCCCGCTCCTCACCTCGAGGAGATCTCCACTATCACAATCCGGTTTGGAAGCCGGAACTTCTACACACTCGGTTTACAAGCTTACCGAAAACTCTCACACTATGCAATCACACTTCACACACTAAGTGTAGGAACCTAGCCCGTGTCCTCCTCCTCAAGTGCTCGGATATAACCTCTCCCTAGGTTCGTCAACCGACGCCACTCCTATTGGATTCGACCCTGTCTCTCGCCTCACACTTCTCTCGGTGTACAAGTGTATTCCAAGTGATACTCACAAATAAAGATTAAATACAATGGTTTGTTCTCAACAACAAATGAGAACGTAAATGAAGCTCACACTCACTAAATCACACCCCACAACCCACACTATATAGTATGAAGATATTAAGCTTAATATTATGTGTGTGATAACAGTGAATGAAAAAATATGTAACTCAATAAATATAGCTAAGATATGAAAATAAAATTATAAGCTATATGAAAGGAAGAGTTAGGAAAACTTCTTAATAAACAAGAAGAACAGTAGAGGATGATGAGGATAGGATCCTCAGTTGAGCCTCTTTAAAGCACACTTAAAATTTGTTAAAACTTTACTGTAAAACAAAACTCTGGTTTTGAAAGAGAGGCAGCAATGGGGTATTTTATACGCCACCAAAATACAGCCAAAACAAACTTAAAAAAACCAAAATAGCCCAGAAAATCAAATCAGTAAATAGCCGTTAGAAAGTAATATGAGATCGGCGGGTCGGACCGTGGAACAATCTCGGCGATCGACCGCTTAAGGCAACAAAAACACTGAAAAAGAGATTTAGAGGCCAGCGGTCGACCGCAAAAGGGGCTCTGAGTGGATTCACGTGCATCCCACGATCACGCGAGCCAAAAAAT